AGCACACACGTGCCACACGGCGGTTCCGGAGGCCCCAGGTCCTCGGCGGGTCTCACGGGCTTTGCCCCCGCGAGGCCCACATTCCTTCGGGAAGCTCCAGGGGGCCATCTGCTCCCTGACGTCTTCGGCTTCCGGAGGCCACTGGCGTCCCCGGTCTCACGGTCCCTGCCACAATCTCCAGAGCCCGCAACACGGCCTCCTGACCCCGGCTTCCACGGTGCCACCCTCTCTGACGCTCCTCTCCTGCCTCCGTCCTAGAAGGACCCCGTGGCTGCCCTGGGGGCCCGCCTGGATGGCCCAGGACCGCCGCCCTACTTGAAGGCCAGTGGATCAGCCACCTTCCTTCTCTGTTGCCAACCTAACCTAGTCCCAGGCTCTGGGGATCGGGACGCGGGCGTCTCTGGGGGGAGCCGTTTTCTGTCCCCCACAGCTCCGGGGACACTAAAACTCACTGCCTTTGGGGCCCGCAGAGCATTTTCGGGTGGCTGTCTGCCTTTCTGGGGCCCTGAGGCAGAGGCGGTGTGCGAGACCCCCTAGGGGCGTCTCATGGACGACAGTGCGTGTGGGCCACCCGGATGCTCACCCAGCTGGCCGCCTGGACCCAAGCCGCCCCGCCCACGTCCTCTCCCTCAAACCCCCAACTGCTGGGCCCGAACCGGCCATGCGGAGCGCTCCGTGCCCGGGCCTCTGGCCCTTTCTCCAGCGGTTTCTCTGCCTCACGCACCCCCCCGCCCCCCTTCTTGAAAACCGCTACAGTGCCCTCAAGTGGTCGCTCCTTCTTGCTCCCCAGTGAGTGCTCGGGCCCTTATCACACTGTCCCATGAATGGTCGTTACCTGAGGTTCCTTGAGGGCAGATTCCAGGTTCCCCCAACTCCCTCTGCCCCTGCCCCTGCATTCTGCTTGGAGCCTGACCCAGAGGGGACACCCAGCAAATCGGTTTCCGGGAGGCAGAAGTCAAAGAGGGGTGCACGCTGATGCTCAAGGGGCCGAGCCCATGGGGGTGAAGCCGAGAGCTTGTCCCGTCCGGGTCTAGGGAGAGCCGAGGACAGCTGGACATTTGTGGCTGGGGCTGTGTGTGTTGGCGGAGTGGGGGAGGGGTGGATACAGGGAAGGGGAAGCAGAGACAAGGGGACAGAAGGCCTGGGTGGGGGAGCAGGGCACTTCCTCACGTGCCTGAGACTCTGCATTTCTGTCTTTGCCCGCCCAGGAGCACCCAGAGCCCGCCGGTCAGGGGAGCACGGCAGGACCCTCCTGAGCTCCGGCCTCCCCAGCATGGACCACTACTGCGAGGCCGTCAACCGTTCCAGCAATGACACCACAGGGATGTCTCCGGGGGCGCGGATGACCGGCCAGGTGCTCCTCCGGTCCATCACGGTGGTCGTGGCCCTCTGCGGGTTGGTGGGAAACGGGGCCGTAATCTGGCTCATCCGCGCGTCCGTCAGGAAAAACCCCTTCTCTGTCTACAACCTCAGTCTCGCCGCGGCGGATCTCATGCATCTGTGCTTGCAGATCGTGTTCTGCGCACGCCAAATCCTGAAGCCCTTCCTCCACCGCTGTTTTCACCTTCCCGGCATCCTTATGGTCCTCAGGTTCTCGTCCTACTTCACTGGCCTGGGTGTCATGACCGCCATCAGCCTCCAGCGATGTCTCTCCGTCCTCTTCCCTATTTGGTACCGGTGCCACTGCCCCAGGCACCTGTCGGCCGGCGTGAGCGCCCTCCTCTGGCTTCTGACCTTTCTGATGAACATTCTGAGAGGCCACGCCTGCGGCCAGCTGTCCAGCCCGACCACTCGCTTCTGCCCTGAGCTTGTGGCTATCATGGACGCGTGGGTCGTCGTCCTCTTTGTTACCATGGGCACATCCAGCCTGCTGCTACTCCGCCAAGTCCGCGGCAGCGCCCGCCTTCACCTGCCCAGAAGGCTCTACCTGGTTGTCCTGCTGACCGCCCTGGCCTTCTTTCTGTGCGGCGTGCCCCTCAGCGTCATCAGGTTCCTGATATGGAAAGTGGAAAGCCAGGCTCTCAATGACGTCAGCGTCCTCCTGTCTTGCGTCAACAGCACTGCGAACCCTGCCGTTTACTTCTTCATCGGCGGCCTTCGGGGGCGGCCGCCGAAGGCGCCCCTCGCGGGGGTCTCTGGAGGACCCCAGGGGAAGAGACAGAGCCCGGGAGAGGCGCCGGCCCCGCCCAACGGAGAGGGCGGCCCCTGACGGGTGGCGATGCCCTGGTGGGAGTCACGCCTCCCCGGCAGCAGGAAGGAGAGCCCCCGGGTCGAGCCCCCGGGGTCAAGCCCCGGCAGGCCGAGTCCTGCGACAGCCTCCCCTTTATAGGCAAACCGAGGACAGACGGCCAGAGCAGACTCCCCGCGTGAAAAGGCGCATCTTCGAGCCCGTTGCAGCCCGCTGCCAACTCGACCTTCCGAAGTGTGTCGAGGGGACCGATGGAGTCACGCCTGGCCACGGCAGACGGTCGCTGCTTCCAGGCTTTGCCTGACCGCGACAACACTGCAAGTTTTCAGCTTTGCGCAAGTAACGCGGCTAAAATTCTTCTGGGCGCGGGTCGGTCCTTTGCAAATGGCGCGCCCTTGTCCTTCGTCCATTTTTGTGGCCTGTTCTAGGGTCTCGTGACGCTTTTTCTTCCCAGACTTCTGAGGGATTCACCTGCTGGATGCAATGGCTTCCCAAACTCTACTTTGGTCTTTAGCATTCCACTGAAACGAATCTTAGTGGACCGAGTTCTGCCTGGATGGGCCACACAAGGCCGCTCCCGGGGTTGGCTGCTTCAATAAACCCTTGGTGCTGGGAGACTTGTGTCTTCGTGAGGTCCCTTACATTGCTTTTGTTGTTGAGGGGCACGTTTGGCCAAGGCTTCAGGACCTTCTGGTGGCAAGAAAGGCTCTAGGGGCTCGTGGTTCTTAGGAGCGTCCCCGGGACGTGACGAGTCTCCTGAGGTCCCGGGTGGGCCCTGAGGTGAGGTGTCATCTTCCCTAGGAAGCAGGCTGGGTCTGGTCTGTGACGGGGCTGAAGAAAGCCAGCATCCCTCAGACACGGGCTTTTGGCTGCCGAGAGGGACCGCCAGCTTCTCATTAGCTGAGCTCCGGTGACCAGCCTATAACTGGGGGTGGGGGTGGGGTGTCACTACCCTATAACTGGGGGGACACGACCCTATCCTATCTCTGGGGGGACGCGACCCGGTAACTGGGGGACGCCACCCCGTAACTGCAAGGACACTGTGACTGGGCCCGAGGATGTTCCACGGTGTGCCGTCCCCTCCCCAGGGAGTCAGCAAGGTGCCAGTCCCGCCCGTGACACCTGTGGGGTGACAAGGCCCAAACTAAAGGTGTCACCCTTGGTAGCCGTCCTCTCAGAGGGTGATGCTGTGACGTGAGGGTCCCTGCCTCAGCTGCTGACCCCACGCTCACATCTCCTGGGTCCCATCTGTCCCCACCCTCACGGGCCAAAAGCGCCCGCTCACCAGCTGTGCCGGAAACTAGCCCCAGGCGAGGGCGACACCCACCGGTGCACGGAGGCCACGTCAGTGCCAAGAACAGCGTTACCGGCAGGTGTTTGTTTCTGGATCCTCCCTGGTGGAGGGAGGACCGAGCTCTCCCCGGAGACAAAACTGCCTCTCGGCTTTAGGAGAGTCACCTTAATGGTGTCTCGTTATCACCAGGCGCCAATCTCTCCCGGTTCTGGGGCCAGGGTGCTGGTTGACGCGAGGGGCTCTCCGCTCCTGAGCCGATCACCTGCCGGAGGCCCCGCCTGCTAACGCCGTCGCCTTGGGGGCTAGGACTTCAACATACGGATTTAAGGGGACTCAGACATTCAGAGCAGGGTTTGGGTCTCCAAGGCCAAGGCTTCTGAGGAATACCGATCAGATCACGAGCAGTAAACGGCTTTGCCTCGCTGTGTGAAAGGTCGTCTGTATGTTGGCTTACGTCACGAGATAAAGGGCCTCTGGGGGGTGGGGAGGAGTGGCTGTTTTGCTCCTCGGTCTGCAGGGGTCCTGGACTCCAGGCATGGACACCGTCTCACGGTGGCGGCCTTGGGAAAGGGGAGAAATGTGTCACCCCCTCTGCTGGGGCCCACACCTTCAGTGCAGCCTGATTAATATTTAGCGGCCTCGCTGTCACTGTGGGAAGGTGAGGGGAAGGCCCACCCACAGGCTTCGTGGGCCCAGAGCCCGTGGCAGCAGCCCAGGAAAGGTCCCCTTAGAAGGAGGTGAGGACAGAGCCATCAGAGCCCAGGTGGGGTAGGTACGGGAGGGGCGTGTGCTGTTTGGGACTCTCCATTCATTCTTCCTACTTCTGTAACACCTCCTGGTCCTCTGGTGGCGGCGGGGGGGGGGGGGGGGGGCACCCTGGTGCTTTAACTAACTGGTTCAGGGATGGGCACCTGACCCAACTGAGCAAATTCCCTGCTGGATTCAAACATGGGAGCTTGTGAGGCTGGGGCCAAAGCACCCTGATGTGCAGCATGAAGGAAGCCTGTGGAGGCAGAGGAGCCGAGCGGGGCAGCGGGGAGGAGAGAACCAAGTTCTAAGGACACGTGCACACCCTGGATCCAGCCAGACCTGAAGCCGTCCCAAGCCCTGCGCTGCTCTGCACGTTAACCAAAACATTCTTTTCCTTGCTAACCAGTTTCTTTTCCCGGGTACGGCTTTGGGCAGGGGCAGACCAGCACAGACCCCAAGCTGCCTCTGCCCCCTCCCGGGTGGTGTGGGGCCCCTCCCAGCCGGGCTTCGCTCTGCACCAGGGAGGCTGTGGAACTGAGGGGGGCCCAGGACAGGACCCTCACCCCACAAGGTAACGGACTCAGGTCCCAGAAATCACACGCTCTTTATTTGAGTCGTTTTTAAGGAACCAGAGCAAGATCCCGCCCCCTCGAGGCATGGAGGGAGACGCTGGCACACTGTTCTGGGCGCACCGTCACCGGCGAGGTGGAAGCCTCGGGGGGGGGGGCGTCAGTCCACGCCATCCAGGTCCTGACAGCCTCTGCTCTCGAGCCGCAGCACCTAGATGGAGAAGCCACGCACACGTCCACGGCTGGACGCTCACAACCACGCTATGGAACACGCCGGTTCACACCCAGCTAGGGGGGCCGTCGCGGGACTGGACGAGCAGCTGCGAGGCAGTCCCCACGATGTGCAAAGACGTGGGAAGAGTGCAGAGCACGTGCACTGGGCAAGTCTGGCAGGACGCGCCTCAGCGCATCGCGGGGGTCCCTGCCGGACGAGGACGCCATGGAGAACTGCATCTGCCCACACGCGTCCTCGGAGGGGTCTACGTTTGCCCGTTACTTGGCTGCGTGGCCTCCAAACCCCATTCCTGATCTGGGGGACCCCACCACTGAGCACCCCCGGGGGAGCCAAGCCCCGCCTCCCCCAACTCCTCATCTGGAGGCTGGGCTGTCCCGGGCAGGATGCCAGCAGCGCCCTGCACTCTGCCCGCTAGATGCCAGTGGCACAGAACCCACCCCGGGCACGACAACCAGAAATGTCTGCAGCCAAGGCCCGCTGTCCCTAGGGTGACCCCTCGCCCGCGGCCCGGACGTGCAGTGTGACCCGGGGTCCATCCTGCAGATACGTCATCTGCAGGGGCGCCTGCCTCGGCCACCCGGTACACAGCGTGTCCTTCCAGCCCGCCGCGCTCTCTGGCTCAACGCCGTATCATCACAACATCGTGTTCTGTGCATCCGAGGGCTCCCTGCTGGCCGCCTGTCCCTCCCTCGGGCCGTTACTACCTGTGCCCGAAGTGCCCTTGGCCCTGCTCCCGTGCTTGGCCTTGGAAAGGAGAAGGCGGGAAGGGCCCACGCTTGCTTCTACTAATCTTTCCTCACTCTTTCAATTAACCAGAAACAGAAACAAAAGGCACAGTGGTTTCAGAAGGCGTGGAACCATCTGGACCCTCGAGTCGGCCGCGAGGGGCGGCGACTGGCCCCAGGTGCCCACAGCTACCCACGCGAGGGGCGCAGCACCAGGCACAGCGCCCGCCGACCCGAAACGTACTTGCGCTTCGCGAAGCCGGGGCCGCAAAAAGCGCGGCCGCGAACGTAAAGCGGCAGCGAGCCGGCGTTCCCCCCGCAGCTGTGGCTCGCGGAGAAGCCCCTTCGTTGCCCGACGCACCTGGGCCTCTATGCACCGGAACTGCCAGGGCCAGCTGGTGTTGTAGAGAAACGGCCGCAGGTCAAACCTGTTGTCGTCGGGGCTGTAGCTTTCTGCGTGGTACGCGGGTGTGAGTGTGGTCATCTTGTGCCTGTTCATGGAGTACTTGCAGAAAAACCACCTCACCTTGTCAGCCACCTGGTAGGCAAGGAACACGCGGACCCTCGAGCTCGCAAGGCTGTGAAGGCCCGGGGCCCTCGGCCGCGTCACGCCGCAAGGCGCAAGCTGACGGCCCCACGGGACCCCTCCCCCGCCCCCGCCCCCACCCCCGGGGGCAGCGGACGAGCGCTGGTGGCCGCACAGGGCGGGTGGCTGAGCTGTAACGTGTCTGCCCCCGACTCTAGCGCCCCCGGACGCGGGGTCAGGAGACCCCGGCAGGGGCCCGGGAAGATACACCCACCGCACGAGGCTTCCAGGCAGTTCCGTGGGAACCACCGCATGAGCCCCGATGGGCCTGACCGCAGGCGGGACAGCGGGCAGGGGCGTCGGGCCCTGCTCAGGGTAAGAGACAACTGGGGGTTGTCAGAGGGCTACCCCTGGAGGCCATGCTGCGCGGACTCACTCCCGCCAAACGGTCCCTGCGCGGGGACTGTCCTGCCGGCTTCCCTCCGTGGGACGTGCCCACGGTGTACCTGCCGCGGGGAACACACGTCTTTCCACAGGCTGACGAGCTTGCAGAACATGCCATAGGGCCCGGTCTTGGCGACCTTCCGGAGTCTGCCGTAGACGGACAGGTCCGCGTACGTCATGCCCATGTCTTCCTGCGGAGGAAGGGAAGAGCACCGCTGGGCCCGCGGCACCGGACGCCCGGGGGAGGGACGTGGCCCCAAAGGCCAGGGGCGGACGCGGGGGCTCGCTCCCCCTCACCGCCAGCGACACAGAGGGCCTTCGGAAGAAAAGATCCAGACCGGGTTTTGAGGGCTGGGAGGGACAGGAGAGCGGCCCCGGCTGGAGACCTGTGCGCGTTCTAGGCCCCGGGGGCGGCACACTGGGTGCGTATTTGGGGAAACAGGTCTGTGTAGACGCAACTAAGCGAAGGAGGCCGAGGCGAGATGGCCCCGGACGTGGGGTTGGAACAACGCTCGCGGAGGAGAAGCTGTGTGACGACGAAGGCGGAGGCTGGGGCGGCGCGACACGGCCCGGGAAGCCCCGGAAGCGGGACCAAGAGGCAGGACCGTCCCCCAGAGCCTCTGGGAGGAGCACGACTCTGCCGACACCGACGTGGTGCCTCTGTGTAAGTCATCCGCCCGCGGCGTTTGGTTACGGCGGCCCTGGGGGGTGATGCCAGGACCCACGTCAGGCCCGACACCCCCCTGGCCCCACGAGAGCCAGCCCCACACTGAGGCTCACGCAAGCCAGCACTCCTCAGATCCCCTGACGCTGGCATTTCGTGGCACAGCGGGACAGCCTCCCCTCCGACTGGGGCCTACAGGACCCAGGACCAGGCCCTCCCTCCTGCTCCCCACTGCCCACCCTGGCCTTCCCTCGGGCCTCAGCTCCAACGTCACCTCCTTGGGGAAGCCTGTCCTGACCCCTTCCGAGGGACACTGCCACCATCGGGTCACCGGGGTCGACGGCAGCACTGGGACCACCAGGGGCCATCATGGTCACTTCCCGCTTGTCTGTCCCAGGGACTCACATAAATGGCCACGTCCCGCCGGTTCACCACCAAGTCCCAGTGCTTAGCGGGTCTTTGCCGCGGACTTCTTTTACCGCTCTCTTTGGCGGGAGATGAATATTTGCCGGCAATGACATTTTAATTCCTTAAATTCAACCGTAATCACTGGAGACTTTAATTCCTCACTTTCCATGACGTACAAAACTAGACAAAGAAACCACCGAGGAGATGAAAACTTGAACGCTGGAAACCCACTAGACCTAAAAGACATCTCTGGGACATTCCGCCCAACGACCACAGAGCACACGTTCCACGTTCTCCTCGAGGCACATGGAACATTCTCCAGGACAGACCAAAGGCCAGGCCAGAAAACTGGCCTCGATGAATTTTAAACCACTGAATCGCCCAAAGTATGCTCTCCAACCGGAAAGGAAGGGACAGAAAGAAACTTTGGAAACTCGCAAATAGGCGGGAATTAAACCACACACTCTTGCGTAAACGGGGGGTGAGAGCAGAAATCATGAGGAAAACTAGGAAATACTTGGAGATGAAAGAAAATGATGTGGCTGGACTTATACAACACAGAAGGGCAGCAGTGAGGAAGGAGTTTATAGTCGTAAACACCTGCATTCGGAAAGAAAAAGATCTCGGGGCGCCTGGGGCTCAGTTGGTTAAGCGTCCCACTCTTGATCGCGGCTCAGGTCATGATCTCACGGTCTGTGGGATCGAGCCCCACATCGGTCGGACTCTGTGTTGACAGCTCGGAGCCTGCCTGGGATTCTCTGTCTCCCCCTCTCTCTGCTCCTCCCCTGCTCTCTCTCTCAAAATAAACATTTTTTATTTTATTTATTTTTATTTATTTATTTATTTTTTTTTTCTTTTCAACGTTTTTATTTATTTTTGGGACAGAGAGAGACAGAGCATGAACGGGGGAGGGGCAGAGAGAGAGGGAGACACAGAATCGGAAACAGGCTCCAGGCTCTGAGCCATCCGCCCAGAGCCCGACGCGGGGCTCGAACTCCCGGACCGCGAGATCGTGACCTGGCTGAAGTCGGACGCTTAACCGACTGCGCCACCCAGGCGCCCCAAAATAAACATTTTTTAAGAAAGAAAGAAAGAAAGAAAGAAAGAAAGAAGAGAAGGATCTCAAATCAGTGACCTAACCTTCCGCCTTCTGACAACACGCGGGAGGAGGCACATGCCAAGCCTCGAGCACACGGACAGAGGGGACGTACGGACTGGAGGGGAGACCATAGAATGAGGAAAATAAAATACCTGGAAATAAATTTTTAACGTTTGTTTTTGAGAGAGAACGTGAGCGGGAGAGGGGCAGAGAGAGGGGGAGACACAGAATCGGAAACAGGCTCCAGGCTCCGAGCGGTCAGCACAGAGCCCGACGCGGGGCTCGAACCCACGGACCACGAGATCGTGACCTGAGCCGAAGTCGGCCGCTGGACCGACTGGGCCCCCAGGCCCACTTACGCTTACACTCTGGAAACAACAAAATGTCGCTGACGGACCCGGACGCCCGGGGCAAACAGGACGCCCCCGTTCGAGCCTCAGGAGGCCTAATGTGGTCACGGAGCCAACGGCCACCAAACGCGGCTACGGATTCAACACAACTGCCACAGAAGCCAAGCTGCGGGCGTGGCAGAAAATGACTCACAAGTTCATCCGGAAACTCCAAGGGCCCAGAAGAGCCAGAAGTGCGCTGGAAAAGAGGAGCGCCGTCGGAGGACTCACGCTTCCCTGTGTCGCAGCTCACTGCAAAGCCGGGTGGCACCGGGACAGGGACGGGCGCACACGGCAGAACGGAGCCCGGGAGCGCCTCTCCACGCCACGGGCACCGGACAGTCGGTGGGAGAGACGTCCGTCCGTCCGCGCGCGCGAGGTCCGCAGCCGGGTGCCCTCCGCGCCACACGCGGCGAAGTCCGCCGGGTCGCAGACTTGAATACGAGAGCTGAAACCACAAACTCTTGGAAGAAGAGGCAAAGTCGATCTTCGGGACGAAGGAGCCGGCAGCGACAGGAGAAAGAGCGCGGCCCCGACCGGCCCGACGGCTCGCGGGCCGGCCCGGACAGAGGGGTCCGCGGCGCTTCTTTCGAGGTGGCGCCCCCGCCACCCACAAGGGACCTGCCCCTGTCACCCCTCCTCCCGGGCGTCGGCCTCAAGAAGCCTGAGTCGAACGAACGTCAAAGGACCAGCAGCGGGCGCGGGGCTCCCCGGCCAGGAGCCTGGAGATGGGAGAGGGGTCCCCGCAGCACAAAGGAAGCAGCAGAGGCGCCCGGCGGACACGAAGCAGGGACACGGGGAGGGAGCGCAGTGACCGAGCCACCACTGCCACTACCTCGTCCGTCTGGGACACCCGTCCGTCGGCCAAGGGCTCCAGCTCTGCGGTGGCTGGTGCTGCCAGGATGCTGTGGCCAAGACATACAGATGTCAGTCCCGACGGTCGCCTGGGCGCTCGTGAGCCCCGCGGGAAAACCCCGCATCGGCCGTCCCCGGTGCCCCGGCCAGTCCCCGGCAACGCCCCCCCCCCCCCCCGCCCAGCCCATGAGCACAGCCGGGCCGGGGCTGGCGGTGCTGGGCTTGCCCGGGGAGATGGGTGTGGATGCCGGGGGGCTCCACGCCCCAGGGCGGGAGCGGACGGCGGGAGCCCCCACACAGGGCTGCTCTGCCAAGCGCCCTGCACGTGGGGACGCATCATGCTTTCTCGTGGGGCCGGCCTGGGCGCCGCGGGGTGCCCAGGAGCATCTAGCTGCCGGGATCCCCAGAACGGTCCCCAGGTGCTGCCCCACAGCCAGGGGGTCTGGGGGAGCCCCCGCCCGAAGGGGCCGGCCTGGCCGCGGGACCCCAGGTGCCCGCTGAGGGCAGGGCTGTTGTGGTCAGGCGGCAGGGAGGCGTGGGAGGGGGCTGTGCCGGGCGCGGAGGGCCCGTCTGGAGGGTGGCACTCACCCCTGCAGGGCGGGGAGCTGGAAGTGCTCGAGGCAGAAGTGGACGAAGGCCCTGAGGTCCGTCTTGCTGATGCCGCCTATGGGGTTGATGTCCGCGCTGGAGCAGTCGTACTTGGTCAGGTAGCCGAGGAGGCTGTGGGGACAGAGCACACGGCGTCCACGCGGCTGAGCCGAGGCGCCGTGCGGCCCGCCTGGGGTCCGGTCCCGGGCGAACACGCCCGGAGCCAGAGCTCGGCGGGCTGGAGGGTCTCGGAGGAGGGTGGCCTGCTGCAGCGGTCGGTCCACAAAGGGCGGAGGCGGCAGGCGACCGGGGGAGGCACTCGAGCCGCCCGGGAAGGCGTCGGGGCCAGGAGACCGATTCGGGAATGGCCAGCATCCAGCCGGGAGCGGCGCGTCTGGAGGGCGGGGCCGGGGCCGGCGGGACGTGGGACCGAGGGGTGAGGTCCTTAGGAGGGAGGGCCCCCTCCACACCTGTCAGCACCCCTCCCAGATACCCCTGCGGCGGGCAGAAGACGGCCCCCAGTCACCCCGTCCTATACCCAGAACCCGAGAACGCGTGACCTGTAGGCAAAAAGGACTTCGCACAATTGAGTTGAGGCCCCCGAGGCGAGATGGTGGCGGTGTTTTCGAGAGAGGGCGAGCGAGCGAGTGCAGGTGAGGGGGGAGGAGCAGAGAGAGAGACAGACAGGGACAGAGGGGATCCCAACGGGGCCCTGCTCTGTGCCATCACAGGGCCTGACGCAGGGCTCGATCCCACAGAGCGGGAGACCCTGATCTGAGCTGAGATCCAGGGTCGGATGCTTAACCGAAGGGGCCCCCCCGGCGCCCCTCGCGGGGAGGTTTTGACCTGGATTACCAGGTGGGCCCTGAACGAAGTCATGAATGTGCTGAGTGGTGTAGGAGGGAGGCAGGGGCCAGAGCCAGGGGGCTGAGAGCAGAGGGGGAAAGACACAGGGAGGCTGCCCACTGGCTTTGCTGGGGGGGGGGGGGGGAGGGGGGCGCGAGCCAAGCAGCTGGGCGCCTCCAGGAGCTGGAGACAGCAGGGAAGGGATTCTCCCGCCAGCCTCCAGGGGGAACCAGCCCTCCCCACAACCTGAGGCCTGTGCTGCACACTGTCGTCGAGAGTCCGCTGTCACGGCGGCCGCGGGACACCCTCCCTCCACCGTGTTCTCTCGCCTGCCCTCTGGACGGTGGCAGGTTTCCGCTGGCTCCCCAGGCCCACCACCCTCCCCCCCCCACAAGGCCATTCCTCGCCCTGCCCCTCGCGCCTGAACCTCCTGGTGGTGGCCTCTGAGGGTCCCGCCCCTGCCGGTGTCGCCAGGCACACACGGCAATGCTCCCAAGCACACGCTCAACACCAGCACAAGGACCCTGCCGTCCTCCCCCTGCCCGTCCTCCCCCTGGTCCTGCCGTCCTCCCCCTGCCCGTCCTCCCCCTGGTCCTGCCGTCCTCCCCCTGCCCGTCCTCCCCCTGGTCCTGCCGTCCTCCCCCTGCCCGTCCTCCCCCTGGTCCTGCCGTTCTCCCCTTGGTCCTGTCGTCCTCCCCCAGTCCTGTCCATCCTCCCCCCTGGTCCTGCCCGTCCTCCCCCTGTCCGTCCTCCCCAGTCCCGGGAGCACTTGGCCCCTCCAGCTTCCACCCACACAAGTGACCTTCTCCTGCTGTTCAGCTTCTCCTGACTCCTACCAAGGAGCGAGGCCTCGGGCGTGAGGCCCCCAGGGCACCAGAGAGGGACCGTTAAGTCCCTGGTGCTGCCCTGGGCGGGGGTCCCTTCCCTGCACCCCAGGGGTCCCTCTTACTATGTGCCTCCCCCGCTGCCTCGGGAGCTGTCAGCAGCTCGGAGTCGGGGAGGGTCCGGAGGTGCGGTGCCCGAGGCGGCCAGGAGACCCACCCAGCAAGGCTCCGGCCTCGTCTCTCTCTTGGCATCAAAGTCCAGAAGGGAGGAGGGCACCCTGGGGGCGGGAGGGCCACGTTTACGCGTTAAACACAAGACAGGCTTCCACCTGAGCTCCAGCCTGAGCGCGCGCACCGGTTGAGCTCAAGTGACAACTTTTCTGGGGAAGTCACTGCCGCGGACCGAATGCCCGTGTGCCCCCAGATCCACATGCCGAAGCCCCAACCCCCGTGTGACAGGCTCTGGAGGCGCGTCTTCAGCAGATCACAAAGGTTAACCGAGGACCCCAGGGCAGCCCAGGGCTGATGCCTCCAGGGCCGGGACAGCGAGGCCCCCGGCACTTTCGTCAACTCCAGCAGCCGACCCCTTCTGCTCCCATGAGCGTAAGCAAAGCCCAAAGTCCCCCACCTTCCCGCCCTCTCTTGGCCCACGTCCCCGTGCCCCGCAAACCGAAACCCTCGGGGCCACGTCCACTGCCCGCCGCTCCCTCTCGGGCCTTCACCGCCAGGTTCCGGCCCGGGCCCCTCCAGAAGCCGCCCCGGCCCTGCAGCCGGCCCCCGGGCCCCCCACGCCTGGTCAACAACCCCATCAGCCCCCGAACGGCCTCTCTGCCTGGCTCTGGGTGCCCCTTCCTCTCCCGCCAGCTGGCTCCTCCTCTTGGGTGGGACCCCCTGATCTGCAGCCCCCCTCGCATCGGAACCTGGGGGACCCCGGACCCACTCCTCCCCTGTCAACATTCAGTCCCACGGTGGCCCAGCTGGTCTCGTAGCCTTGACGGCATTTCACCATCTGCACACTCCCCGGGGCAGGGGTGCGCTTCACCCCCGGGTTTCTCCAGAATCCCGTGTAACTGCCCAGCACACGCCTCCACACGGCTGTCCACAAAGCCGCATTCCCGACACTGGGCCTCGACCTCCCCACCCGGTTCTGCACCTGGACATCTGACCACACACACGCCCATCCCTTCGGCTGCTGGGTCGGCCTGGGCACCGCACCTGACCTGGTCCACCAGCAAAGCCTGTCAGTCCTCCCCCTGATGGCGAGACAACCGGGGGCCAAGCCCGCTCGCCGTCCCCCAGCCCCACCCCACCAGGCCGCCCTGCCAGGCGTGAGCCGCATGGGTGGGAGGAAGCGGACCGCGGACCCGCCGCACCGGTTGAAAAACCCTGCAGGGTCGTCCCACCTCGTTTAGGGAAAGGAAAAGTCCTTACAACCTGCGTGCCCCCCCAGCGCGCTCCCCGACTAGACCCCACGCAGAGACCGGCCACAGGGGAACGGGGACCAGCCGCCTCACCTCCCGCAGCAGAAAGAGGTTTGCGGTCACACGATTTCCCGCCTACTCTGGCCGTGGCAGGTGGTGGCGAGACCCCCACCCAGGGAAGCGGGGACCTACAGACGCAGGGGAGGGGCCGGTGGCACGCCCCCTTGTGGAGGCTTCTGGACTCACCGGCCCCTCTAGGACGGGCCACCCTCTCTGCAAGGCTGTCCTTACAAGCCTCTGGCGGCTCCTCCAGCCCTCCTCTGCGCTCATCACTGACCTCTGACCTGCCCCTGGCCATTCACGGCCCCGACCAGGCCCCAGCCTCCTGCTGTCGGTGACGGCGCCCCCAGACCTCAGAGCCTCCTGTCCGTCAGGCTCTGCGCACACGCGCGTGAGCACAGCCGTCTCGGAAAGGCCTGCTTGGGGGGTGGGTGCTCGGCCGGCACCAGGGATCTGGGGTGCTCCCGCCATTCCCTATTGGAAACCGTGGGCGCGGTTTCTAAATTCCTTGTTCAAACACCGCTTTATGCTGAGCACTGCTCTCCTTCTGGGAGCCGAGGCTTGGTCCGCGCCAGGCAGAGAGTGGCCGTGTGACCGGCCCCCAGGGCCAACGCTGGGCGCGGGGTCTCTGACAAGCTTCGCTGGCGGTGGGTGCTGCCCACGTGCCGTCACGCGTGTTGCTGGGGGTCGGTGGGGGGGGGGGTCCACTGGGAGAGGATTCTGGAAGCCTGGGCCTGGTTTCCTCCATTCTCCGGCTGCAGTCGACCGCAGCCCCGGGCCCGCCCGACGCGGAGTCCCGTCTGCCAGCGGATCGCGGGACGGGACAGCATCTCGCTCCCGCAGCCTCCGCCTCCCCTTGCAGCTTCTGGGCTCCCCTGCCCCCCTCTCCCTGCCGGGCTCGCTTGGCTCCCTGCCCCACACATGTGTGTACGCAGCGGCACGACCCCGCCTCCAGGGCGTCCCCGGTGCCGGGCCGCCCGCCTCGTTCCCCGACCCGTCCCGCTGTCACCAGCTCCCCTCAAGCACCCAACGCCTGCTGTGCGTCGTCGCTCGGCCCGGTGACTCCGCTTCCTGCTTCACCGAGGACGGTCACGGCCCCGACCCCACGCCACCCAGGCCCGCGTCTGTGCCGTGCACTCTGCTGGACACACTAGCTGGGCTCCCGATAAAGCCGACCTCTCGCTTCGCCACCTGCTCTCACCTCCTCGGGACACCAGGACAGCTCCCCAGCCGCGTCCCCCCTCCTGCATCAGCAACACTGTTCCTCCCTGCCACACCTCTCTCGTCAGCTCTTGAGGAAACACCTTCCTTCTCGCCCCACTGGTCTTGCCAGCTACCACCCTGCCCCTCCCCTCTCCTGTGGTGCACGCTTCTGGAAAGAACTGACTCCTGGTCCCTCATCCACTGCCCACTCTCCTCCAACCTGCCCCAGCTGGGATCCCGGCACCTCCTTCAGACAAGATGGCTTTTCAGGGAGACAACGACCACCCTCTGTCCCGAGGGGCTCTCACCACAGGACGTTTGCACACACTGTTATCTGGGCTGCATCTCCTCTCCTGGCTCCTGAGGCCTTTGGAAGCCAACTTCTCAGACAGGCCTTCCCTGGCCACCCCAGTAACAACCTCAACTCCCAAACTCTCCCTCTGCCTGCCCTGGTTTTTCTCTGTAGACTTTCCCCACCCTACGTACACGATTAAGTGTTATCACCCGTCTCCTTCCACTAGAGTAAAACCACAGTTACTTTTCTGTTGTGTTCACAGCACCAAGAATGCCCAACACGTGGCGGACGTTCAACATCCCTTGAGGAACAAGCACACCGGAATGCAACAGACCCGAAGTTAGCTTAGAAGCAGTTAAGACACAGAATCAGAAACCACTTTGAAAAAGAACCAGCATGACAGAGGGGACAGACCTGACACTCTACCCCGGGATGCAGGCAACGGGGAGATCGTAGACAGGGACGCTGCATGGGACAGTCGGCCCCACAAGTACAAGAAACACACACAATGGAAGAAACACCGTTGGAAGTAAAATACGAGAAAAGTGCCTGCAGCTGTAGACAGACTTCCAAATACCTCCCCGAAAGGGTCTGGCAGTGAAATGTGATGGGAAGAGACGAACATGAGAACCAGGTGTCAGACAGAAGCGTTTACTTTCTAAACTGACATCCAGGAACATGTAACACCCAGAAACCCACTCCTACCCTGGAAAAAATTGTTATTTTCTGCTAAAACACGAAATGCGATGGACAAGAGTTGTGACAGGGAAAACGGTACGACGATACAGTTACGTAACAGCTCACACTCTTCTTCAGAAGCAAACAAAACAGAACACACCCACGTTGTCAACTACTCAGGCTCCGAATACGCGCTAGCTGTCACATCCGTCCTGAGACATCATTTCCTTACAAAAGCACCGAAGGCAGCAGAAAAGCGACGAAAATTGACAAAATGTTCACAGGAATGGTGAGAATTTTCACCAGCCATAGGGTGCTAACTCTAAATTGTCATAATTAGGAAGCAGGATCCAAAAGCCCAATATAACGTTTAACAGAAAACACACTTGAAGACAAGCAAGGATGTAGAAAGATTAAGACACTCATGCCACGGATAGAAAGACGGATGGATGGATGGAATGATGGATGGGTGAATGGATATATGCATGTATGTATGGATGGATGGATATGTGGATAGATGGATGGGTGAGTGGACGTACGTATGGATAGATGGATGGACACATGGATGGATGGACGGATGAGTGGATGGATGGGTGGGTAGACGGATGGGTGGGTGAGTGGATGGATGGATGGATGGGTGGGTGGGCGGGTGGGTGAGTGGACAGATGGATGGGTGGATAGGCAGACAGACAGATGGGTGAATGGATGTACATATGGATAGGTGGATGGATGGACAGAT